ATATATATATATATATATATATATATATATATATATATATATATATATATATATATATAGAAAAGAATAAGCTAAAAAAGAAAAAGAAAAATTTCCATAGCTATTGCAATTATAACTCATTTCCACTTTTTTCTTTCCTGACAAATTTCGATTTTCCGACTGGAAATCAAACTAGGAAGATTAAATTTGAAAAAAGAAGTTATTGTGGGAAAGAGAAGAGAAAGAATGAAAAGTGTAAATTGTGAGAATATTTAGATGATTGTTTTTCTATGAGAGGTAATTAAATCATTTTTACTTTGAAAACGAAATAAAAAAAAGAAATGAAAACGGAAAAATTTGTCAATGAAAAGAAATAATTTAATGTCATTTATAATAATATTTTTCCTTAAAATAAATTTTTTTTTTAACTCATAAATAGGAATTTGAACATTCAAAAAAAGAAGGAAAAAATTTATCTTAGTAATAAAATAAAATAGTAAATTTAACGGTCGCACATTTTGTCATATCTTTCGACTCTTCCTGATTACAATAAACGATCATTCAGTGTTGGTTGGTTTTATCTAATTTCAAATTTTAACAAGTGAGGATTATTACAGTAAAGTGAATTTAAAGATTGTAAATTAAAATCTTCCATTAAAGTATTCATTCAGGAAATTCAAGTAGTTACTTTTCTAATACCGAAAGCATTTTGCAGATGGCTCGTCGGGATTTAGTTTACTTTAAAATTCATGAATTTTATTCAATAAATATAAACTTTCCAGGACTATTTTTCTAATACCCCTTTAATTCATGTGACAATCTTTTTTTGTCACATTACTGTCAACTCCCCTTGTCTCCCTATCCTCCAATTTTCTAATAGAATACAATGCTTATTTTGAAACAGTTTGGGAATATTGCTCGTATTTTAATCTCTCTCAATCTAATATTTACCAACATTGTCCTCATTTTTTGTAATTCAAATAAGCATGGTTAATTGGGCGATTATTCCGAAAAAATTTAGTTGCAATGAATTCATTCTGTGAAAAAACTTTCTATCTATTTGCTGGACTTAGAATTGAAAGTTTGGGTGCAAATTTAAGAAGTTTAAGTTTGAGTTTAATTTAATAAGTCTAATTAAATTTGAGTTTGATTGAATTTAAGTTTAATTTAAGTTTGCAGATTTAAGTCTGAGTGCAAATTTTCTGCAAATCTTCAATGTTGCCAAAAGTCACTTTCACAAGGATAGTTTATAAAAGTTTGATGATTTTCAGTTAAATTTTGAATTTCATTGCTGGGAAAGCACAAAACATACCTGACTTGTAATTCAGCATCAACCTCCTTGTTCTCCTCCATATAGAAACACCGCACATTATAAGCTCGATCCACTTTCGTAATAAATAACTGCAAAACTTCATTTATTACAAGCAAAAAGTTATTGTCATCATGTCGTTAAAATCTTAAACTCTCGGATTCTGATTCTTCCAAACGTATTTGAAATTTACCGGATGTAGTTGTACGATAACTGTGAATGAGTAAGCCATTCCACGTGGATTCACCTGTAAATAAAAATGGCATTCTGAATGATGTTTTCATTGCTGTAAACAAATCCCAAAACGTAAAATTATTGTTGAAACTGTGGATGAAGTTTTGATAATTGTGTTTACGTACTTCACGTTTCCTGTTCACGTTACACTTCTCGAAATGAAATGTTGCATGGTTCGTTTGCTTAAAGTGACAACCATCCTTGTGAAAATGACCTTTGGCAAAAATATATGATGGGGTTCTGGGATGCTGTTCGTACTCGTACTGCTATACTCCCTTGTCCACATTCTACTTCCGGTTGATCTGAAATTAATTCTCCATTTTTCATTATTTTTTCATTAAAAAATCAAATATAATATGTATCGAAATTTCGAGGGTGCTATTTTTCGACCTGAAGTTAGTCAATAATTCCCATTAAAACTTAAATTCGCACTAATCAAACCCTTTTTTTTGCATTCTCCCTAATTAGAAACTCACACTTACATTACATTAATTAATTTATTTTTTAAATTCCTTGAAGTTTTTTCCTTTTGAAAATGGATTTTTTTGTGGCAAAAATCAAATCTTTTTAAATATGAATTATTAATTGATTATTTTTGAGAATCATTTTGATGAGTTATTGTCTGATGGCAATGCACTGTAGCCCCATTGGCGCAGTCGGTTAGCGCGTCGTACTTATAAGTGAACGAAGAGATGCGAAGGTCAGCAGTTCGAGCCTGCTATGGGGCAAAGCTTCATTTTGCAAAATTGTTGCCACTTTTTTCAGTCCTATATATATGATAATTTCTAAAGCAATTCTTTTATGAAAATTTAAGAAATGAAT